ATGTGTTCTAATTTTTAACCGACTTCAAAAAAGGACTGTGTGCTGTGTTCGACTGTATATTTTTTTATGTATGTTTACCGATTTCTCCGTAAATTGTGGACTCGGGTCTTTTTTTATTCGAAAGAGTGCACTTCCGAGGTGTTCTCATTGGAACCAAGTCTGGATCTGATGGTGCAATCCGGGGAAATCGATGGTAACCTTCATATTTCAAAGGCACGCACGATGTTTTTTATGCATGTTCACCGATTTCTCCGCCAATTGTGTTATTGTTTACTTGGACGATGCAATTTTTACTAAAATGGATGAAATAAAAAAAAACCAAAAAAAACCGACTTCAAAATCGAAATTCAATTCCATTTTCGATTTTGAAGTCGGTTTTATCTTTTGTTTTTAGTTTTCGTTACATCTGTTATGGTGCTGTTAAGTTTCCATACAAAATTTGACAATGACATTTAGCACTCTCAGACTATTCGAATTCTAAATTGATTCGTGCTAGGGGTACAGTTTGAAGTAAGTAGTAGAAAGAAATCATAAGTGTACAGTTTGCTAACTTTTCCGCAAAGACTATTACAAGTAAACAAGCCAACTGGGTCGTTTGTTTCCAGTCAAAATCTTTGCCTAGATTCATTCAATATCGCGTATTTGAGCGAGCGATATTATCAAATTGTTTTTTTAATGTTTGATCTAAAATTGTTTTGAGAATGTTTTCTATATATCACTTGGCAACCTTATGTTTGACATATATCTTACAAAACTAGGTCCTACAATAGTAGAAACCCATTTAAATAACAAAAATGTATACGTTTAACATATTCCGAAAATATTTAATATAATTACATTGCCAATAAATTGTTTTACATTTTTATTAGATCAAAATGCTATACTTACATAGGTAGTTAAAAAAACTAATTCAACACCAAGTTGCCCTATAGCAGGTCGCACTTCTAACCTAAGCTACTTACAAAAATACATTCTTTAGGTATTTCGAATCCTCCTTCTTAAATAAAATCCCCTTTACAAACGTATTAATACGAACTTTTAACTGAATGTTCTCTTTCCATACAAAATTTCTTAATTAAACTTATTTGTGATCAAAAATGATTGCTAAAGACACGTTGCTAAATGGAAATTAGCGAAGAGAATCGTTCCTGAAATCAAAACTTACAAAACATTTTTGATGATTAGATGTATATTTGTCAAAGTTAAAGGTTTGCTTTTCGCTGCTTGTGAAGTGAAAATTTGTTTAATGACTGTCAGCCAATCAAAGGGAAAGCTATAAAAGTTTTATTAATAATATTTGATGTTTTACCGACCCGCTAGGAATGTAGATGGATACCGTCCCATTTCAATGGAAAGAATGATAATGCTATTTATTATTTACTAGCTGTGCCCCGCGGTTTATTAGGGATATTTTCACGCAGTAAAACGTAGCCTATGAGTTAATCTAGGGTGTCAACTAACACCATACCAAATTTTTATTAAAATCGCTTTAGCCGTTTAGACTTGTTGAAGTAACAAAGATACACACTCACAAACTTTCGCCTTTATAACATTAGTGTGATTCAAACTGCATTTTATCGTGTGCATCTTATATATCCGTAGATACGCACGTGCTTAATCCTAAAGCTTCTTGCACTTACTAGCATGTATTTATACGAATTGACTTGTATGCTCAAAAGATTATAATGTGCACTACTACGGTCATTTTAGTAGATACGCTCTTATTTCTTATTTTGACAAGCTTACAACGATGCACAGGTATGTGAAAAATAGTAAAAAATTATGAGTGTTTTGCACTAACACGATGCATAAGTATAACTAGCATAATTCTCATGTATGCCTTTACTAGAATTACTAATCATTAATAATATGTCTGAAAATCTATTCAATACAATAGTTTTTAGCATACTAGTGAGCCGCTCTCGCTTCGCTTCGGTAAAGGAAGACTAAAGTTTTTCTTCTCGGTGTAGGTATTAATAAATATTTCTCTTCAATCACTTTATCCATTTCTTAAAACTGCATTAAAATTGCGCTGCGTAGTTTAAAGGATGTAAGCATACAGGCAGCAGGAACGACTTTATTTTATACTATGTTACTACTAACGGATAATATAATACCTAAACTATATACACTATGCCTATTGAACATAACAGTTTTAATGATCTAATGTTGCTAGGTACTACTGATATAAATTCATATTAAACGAAGACAATTAATTCTCTTCTACCGTCCAATTACAAATTGATAGATCAAGTGGAGCGTTCATTAATTGTGCAAATTATCGTCTCAGTATTTTATATTGACATGAAATTAAGTAACTAGAGATGATCGGGTAACGAAAGGTTTTATTTACATGTGGGAGGGGATCTCAAAAAATTCTCAATCGTAAAACATTGTTGTATGAAAACTGGTTATTGAAATATATAAAACAAGAGTAATCATATTATATTGTTATGTTATCAAATAATATTTAGAATATATAACAAATGAGAGTATGTAGCGTCAACCTACCTTATTTAAACGTAATATCTCTCTTATTTACAAAATAAACCTTTTCTAAAAAGGTACACAACTTGAAAAGGTCATGGGTAGGCGAGTATGACCCTATCGATTTGCAAAACATTCATATTTCATTATAAATTATCATTACCAAAGTAAAGAAGCTTATACACGATTAATTTCCATAATATTATTTGGATTCCCTTTCGAAAGTCAGCTTTCATAAAGTATTTATAAATATTGAAGTAGTAAGTATTTTTGTCGATTCAGAATTAAAATTGCCGCAATCAAAACGTTGTAGGAATTTTCCTGCTAAGGGCAACTATACTAAAGAACATAGAGCTCATTTGCATTTTTTTAATTTTTAGCAGTATGTTGATGAAGCATGAAGGAACAATCGAGCTTTTGTCACTACAGATAGTTATTTGACAGTTATATAGGACGCTAACTGAACGTTATAGTATTAAAGCAAAGGTTCGTAAAAAAATATCATGTAAAAAGTATTAAGTATTAAAAGGCTCTTGAGAAATTACCAATTTTGGAAAAAATAATCACAGCCGTCAATAAAATTGTTTTGAAATTGATCGAAGGCGTTGTTGATGTTGATGAATCACATTCGCACGCTTGTTGATCAGTTGTTGTTATAATTGTGTTTGTATCTTTAATATAATTAAGAAAAAAGATAGAGAGGTGAATAGCGCATTACTCACTCAAATTAGTTGTGTTTCCTGTTTAAAGAAGTAACTTTACAGGAGACCACACTGAAATAACAGTATCTTTTAGTGGTTGTTTTGCTGCCGATGAGTAACGTTTGATGTTATATGGTATAAAAACAAAAATGTTGAAAATAAAAGTGGTATATAACTTAGGAACCTTGTTTTTTTCTAAATTGTCTTTTTTTAAGAATATAATCTTCGAATAACAAATGTTTTATTATGGTATGTTATGTGTGATTTCACACATATTGCTTAAAAACACTAACATTCTTTAAAGGCGCTCTGTTAACTGCGTTCATACTTCAAACAAACATAAACCAAACGGGGATTTCAAAGATTTTCCCCTACGTCGTGAGTGTTGCCAATTGTTGAAAGCTTGATTTTCAGCTTGTGAGGTAGGTTTTAATATAAACAGAAACCTTTAATATAATCTTACAAGTAATAACCTTTAACCGAAACTTCCTAAATAATTTTGAATTCTGTACTCGTGAAAAAAACATGGTCCAGAAAAAACACTTTTTTTCATGTTTTTTTTCACGATTGAAATAACACAGTTTTTTGGATCTCTATTAAGGTTCCTCCAGGATGTAGGGAATGGAATCAGGGTAGGAAATGGCGTAAATGATACTTTCTTTGGTATCAGGCCATATAGTTATGCTTGTATGCACATTATCCTTGTTTTCACCATTTTTTATAAGGAAATACCTACTAAATGAATTACTATATAATAACTTGTGCTTCGCAGATTTAAGTTGATTCTGTCCCATTTATTAATGTGAATTCTAAAATCACTAAACACTTTGTCTTCTTCATTAAAATCTTGTCGTCCGAAGTAGCGAATTTATTTTTATCATAAACCTATCATTTTAAAAACATCCTCTTAAACGCTTATCTTTTTACAGTATCCGTCATTAAACTTTACCAACATTTTACAAGGCTGCCCAATTTCTAATTTCCTGATCAAAGAATGTTTATTCGCGCCATCATCCTGAATGATAAAGAGATCAAACAATACCAAAATAAAGAATACTCACAAATTAAAGTCTTGTTCACATTCATTAAATATTTTGTATAAATTTTATATAGGTGGAGAATACCGTGTACATGTAAACAAACATATTTGGATGCAAAATTATACAAAAACAAAAAGACATTTATATTAAAAAAATAAATATGCGATGCCCTGCCAGTTTTCATCCAGTACGGTTGTAGAGTCGTATTATAAATAATCGGTGATAAATTCCTAGTAAATATTGTCTCGTAAAAGTGGTGTAATTTTGTCTTTTCTTTACTGTCTGCCTACTAACAAACTAACAAAATTTATAATAAAAATAACTACATAAAAATAATACTAGGTCGAAAAAAACACAACAATCACGTTTTCCTTCCTGTCTGACCCTTTCAATTTATTCTTTTATATTTGTCTAAGTAGTGGCAATAGAAATACAGATTCTGTGGAAATTTTACTTGTCCGCTGTGTTTTGGTTCAGGTGATACCAGTTGCTGACTGATGAATGGGTGGACAAACAACGTCATAAGGTCCCGTTGTCACCCTTTGAGTACGATATCTTAAAATTAATCTGCTGTTACAATGTGTCTCTAGATTTTGAATGCTCAGCAATTACAAGTAAGGATTTACGTGGCGATTTCACAATCCTAACCTAAATGCTCCACTTCAGAAGCTATGTAGTAGTGAGCTGTCTTCTTTAAAACCTGAATCCACACAGGCAGTAGTGAACGCGTAATCTTATCACCAGTGATCAATTAAAGCTTTCGTGTTTTGAGCCACAATTGAATTTAGCATTGATAATGCTTGCTGGTCCTCAATTTCCACGTCGAACATTGATTACCGGCGCCCACCGCCAGTTTCCATTAGCGCCAAATTTATCCTCGGGTGGAGTCGCTGGCGCTCGTACGCTGGCCGGGCGGCTGGTGGAGAGAGCGGGACGCCGCGCCGCCGCTGTACGAGCATCGCTCTCACGGCTCCATTGATAGTCCGCGCGGCTCGCCGTCGACACGCTGCCTATGTCTTGCGGCGCAACGCCGCAGCATCGCTTCGAAACCTCCCACTGAACGCCAAACCCCGACAATGTGACATTACGAATTCGCCTTCCCGCGGAGTGTTGTTCACTGAGCGCGCACATCTCAAACTGGCCAGCAGTGTCGAGGTCGTTCACTGATCCGACAGGTTGGCCCTGGGTCGAACGGCCACAGCACGCGAACAGCTTCTGTACTAAAACGGTGCCAAGGATGAGGCCTAACGTTTATGTAATTTGTTTTTGAAGTGTTTTGACAATTTTACCGACCGCGTTGTTGTTGTGTACAGTTAGGTAGTATGTTATGTTGTTATACTATAGCTGTTAAAACGCTAGATTCTGTAACCACTGTTGTTATTGATAAGAGTATAGAGTGCGATAAAGTTATCTGAGTATATAGACATAATATAAAGTTCAATAAAATATACAATAAAGTATTTTTCTAGTGAATATTAAATCGATTCGTTCGTGTAGGATTGTTTGGGAGCAGGTGTGTTATAATGTACAATGTCGAAAAGTTGTGTTGAAAACGCACGTTTGATAGTTTTATCGGTGTGTTGAATGATGTGGCTTAAGCGTGGATAAAGCGTTAAGATGCAGCGGTCGGGGTCTCAGTCGGAGCGGTTAGGCTGCACGCCTGGCGGAGCCTTCATCGCCAAAAGCTCCGCCTCAGAGCACAGCATGTCTACCGGCGTGTCCGCGAGCAGTAGCGGCGGCACCCTGCCGAGGACGCTTAGCACAAGCGTACTTCGAATAAAAAATAGATCTACTTTCTGGGAGAAATTTTGGGATGAACGCACAAGACGTGATGCGTGAGTATCGACAAATAAAGATATAAACAGAGGTAATATTAGAATTATAGAGAATCTGTTGGAAACTAAACTCAACTTTCGTTTAAAATACGTTTACTGCTTGATAACGAAGAAAATTTTGGAAATGATAACAGTAAACGGCAACCAAAACCAAGAGATTCTCTTTATATTTAAACGTATTTAGATCCTAAATTCAATCTTTCTGGCCATCAATTTTCAATATCTGATATCGAAAATTTCCATTGTACATGGTTAACCTATCAGAATTTCAGCACAGTCTATATCGCGAATCGTATAATGATATTTTTATTATACAATCTTTAATATACATATCTAAAACAAAGTTGACAAAGTAATGCCATAAATTTGTAACATTAACAGTCGTGAATTGAAAAAGTCAGCTGTATTTCGAAATAGATACACTTGAAAATAACATAGGCCTAACTATTTATAACTAACCTATAGTAAAAATCTAAATCGTTTAACCCATACATTAATCATGACATGTATATTTCCAAAAACTCGAATTTGGTATTCCTCAGGTTTTACAAGAAAAACAATTTACTTATCCAAACAATTCTTTACTCAAAAATAAATTTGCATACAATCACTGCGAATTCAACGAATGTATTTTATTCCATTTTGTAAAATACAAATATTTTACAAAAAAGCTTCATTAGCTTTTACCTTCAGCTTATATTTAATTAGCGTTATTTAAGATTTACCATAGGTGAACCAGCTTTTTGTAATAAAATCCGACTTCTTATAATTGTTCTGAGCTTCAGCAAAAATAAAAGAAATTCTAAGAATTTCCCTAGAGCGATCTCTACATGACATGAAACAAACAGTAATCACTACTTGAGCTTGACGCAAAAATTAAAATGCAAGGAGAGTTGTTGTAGGCACCCTCTTTTAATATTCATAATTAAGACACGTGTACTTGTATCTTGTACTATCATGGACAGGTGTATAAATTATAAAATTCTTATAAAAAATACATTACCTATACTTATTGAAATACATATGTTAAGTTTAGTTAAAGGTGATGCTGGCACTTTATTTGTCGTTACTATAAATTCAAAGACATGTAATTTAATGAAGCGTAAACTTCATTAAAAGTTTTTTAATGCGACTGAAACGCTTGGAACACCTCATTTGTACTAGGCATGATTTTCATGCACACAAACTTCTTATCTTCATATATTTCTTCTTCATTGGGTATCATTCCATTTCAAATTGTATATAAGAGATTTTAAAAGCACTGTAAATGTTTCACTCAAAGTATAATTATAAAAGTCACAATATTGCGCTAAAAGTTTACGCCAAATTGCAAGCATAACAATTTTCACCCCTATTTCAATCACTCATTATCAGAAAAGGGATAAATGCTTACGCTGTTAAACATTTCCAATTTCTAGAAGGTTATTTATTAACCTCATTGTCAAGAATATATATTTTTCTAAAGAATTGCTTAAAGACTCTTAAGTGTCGGACGGTGAACTCCTCCTAAGTTTTCCTATAGAAAGATTTATGTACCCCAGTAAAACTTTTTAGCAAAAAACTAAACCGCCAAAAAATTTTAAAATAATAAAACTTTTTTCCCTTAGTCAAATTAATATTTGGAGTCGGTACCAGTGCCAGGCTAACCCTAGTAGTAAACGGGAAGTCAGATCTATCAGACCTTCATGGCACCAACTCCAAATATTAATTTGACTAAAGATAAAAGAGCTTTATTATTTTTTACTTTTCTTATATTTGTGGTGATATTTTTTTTTAATATACAACTCGGCATCAAAATCTGCGAATGAACAAATCAATCATCCCCCGTTTTCATACCCTTAATTTGAATTAAGGATTGGATTTAGATTTTTTTTCAAATTCATATCGGACTAACTTTGGGGACTAACCCTTATGGGACTAACCCTTTCCAATAAAGAAAGAATTATTAAAATCATACTACTTTGTAAAAAGTTATGTGTGATCTAACATTACAATCGGTGAGTAAACAATCATCCATCCCCTGTTTTCATACCCTTTGGGTTGGATTTTTTTTCCAAACTCATATGGGGCCAACTCTTTGGGGTATGTTAGGGTATAAATCAGATTACTCTGCAAAAAGTTATGTTATGTCATACATAAAAAAAACAAATACACGCGTCGATTTGAGAACCTCCTCCGTTTTTTTCGTAGGATAAAAACTGCATCTCATCGCCTTTTTTAGGATTTCATCTAAATCTCCTCATTCTTTTTAATCTACCGCATATAGAGATAAACTTGTATCTATATTTGAATATATAGACTAAGGTTTCTGTTGTGAATTCTCTTTTTTGGATTTCTGATAATTTCATGTTAGAAGCTTGCCAATGGTTTGCCGTTAGATATTCCACACTTTAATATTCATGTCATCGTGAATTACAATACATTAGTATTCTAACTAATCATGTCCGATATATTTTATTAAGCTGGAGTGTTGAATAATCTACTCATCGCTATAGTTATAAGACCACCAGTGTGTTTATTTATAGACAACACTACCTCATCAATTAGCCTTAGTCACTCAGAGTTAATGAATTTGAACAGATATCATAAACATATAATATGCTTTCTGTTAATCTAGTTAACTATAATTACACAATTAACAACCCACCTCAGCTTCGCATAGGTGTAATTAATCTTAGTACAAAAATGCATCCCAAATTCCTAGTTTTCTGGTGATTTCTTGTGGAAATAAAGTTTTTATTATTTTGAAAACCTTATATTGAAAATTACTAACTAGCCATTTACATGTGATGCTCCGTGGCATTTGTGTTTTATATAAAAATCATCGTTAGAATTACTAACCTACTAAGTAGTAGTGGCATCAATGACCGACAAGAACCAATGATCGATATTTTTTCTGTGATCATTGACAATAAGAGTACGTAACCGATCACTTAATATGGTAACACCGAGCTATTCTTATCCGTCATTGGTAGATACTACAACTTTATGCCTGTGACCGGTGACCTGCACTTTCATCGGTATCAGTCATTCATTTTTCATCTAAAATAAACATGAAAAACGCGTAAACGCGTGAAATGAGCGTTCATTTATTTTGATCGCAAGTTATGTATGTCACAATTTATTCATGCAACTCCGTGCTACGTCTTCCTTCCTTCTTCGCGAAATCATGAGCTCTTGTAACTTTGAAAAACATAGAAAATTTTGACTAGTATTAGAATTGTTAAACATTTCATATTCTATTTTATTATAAAATAGAATATGAAATGTTTCAATGGGTTCGGCAAATTTTCGAATGTGTAGCACTTTATCACCCAAAGTTTGAATATACCGCCTTATGTAAATATAAGCTGGTACCTAGAGCGACGTCAATTTTCACTTTGGATATAAAATATAAATGTCTTGTGTATTCAGCAACGCCAGTATCTAGAATGGAAAAGTGGAAATTGTTCATTGCCTTCACAGATAAATTGCTCTATTTGCTGATAAGTTTCAATTATTTGTACAAGAAAGTTAGCAGCTGACGTAATTCACAATTCGGTTAGCGAAAAAGGTAGTTTACTAATTGTTCGTTTACTTCCGTAAACACACTCTTTTAATTATTTTCTTCTACGACCAAGAAACATGAAAAGGGACTGAGTGTCAATTATCATTTCGTAAGTGCTCATGGCAATTTAATTATTTATATGTATTATCAAATAAGAGGTCCTCTGTTCATAACTGTTAAAAGGACTTTTTAATTATTTGTTATTAAATGAGCGATTTAATTTCGCCTTATGTAAATATTTAGCGATGACCTTCTTTTATTTATAACATGCAATAGGTATAGCTGCCACTTTGGCAGCCATTTACCATTGCTAATAATAGATTAATGACTATAATTTGGGTTGAACTGATTTCGACATGACTTATATTTCTAACGTTCGATCAAACTTTAGGAGGAATGTATGAAAACTTTAAAATTTTAATATAACTATTATCAGATACCAAAAAAATGCAAGCAAATGTACAAAATAAAAGATGAAAGAGTGTTTATTTTTAAAGGATTCCCACTTATTTTGATGCTGCCACTAGCGATAACTATACCCAATATCATCATTCAATATACTAAAAATTACTGCAATCATCATCAATAATCAATTAAAACCATGTATTTGTTATTATCATACATTTGTTTCTTAGTTTCAGTGAAATCAATAATCAAATGAGTTAATTTTTTTTACCTTATTATTATTAAGGATACCTTTTAAGATTTAGGTTTAGTCGCTAGAATTTATTATAGTTAGATCTAGACCCCAATCAAGTAAACAGAAATAACAAATTAAAACTATAAAGTCCTTGGCACTTTTATAAAATTGTAACGTTGACTTTTAAGTTGACACTGCATGCTTAAGTGACATGCAAATAGGTACAAAACCGGTTCCGATAACGATGGACAAACATATGGTCACAACGATAACAAAGAAATAATTCATTATTATTAACAAATACGTAACTGATATTATAGAATTAACATCGGATACCAAATATAATACCATCGGATTGTTCTACGCTTAAAAAAACATTTGGTATGAAATACTATATGGTATGTGGTTTTGTGGTATGGAAATGTTGACAAATAACTTAATAAATGGACTGAATGTGCATATTGCATTGTTTTAGTAAAATATAACCGGTTTTAGGCGCATTGCTTGGATTGTTTCAGAGCCAATTACTTGCTGACATAGGTAGAGAGTTTTACGTTTTAACTTTAGTTTGGACGTACAGCTGTGCACACCCCGACACCTTCCACGCTATTTGAGGTCGAGTTCTGCAATATACGCGGACTCCTCTCTAACCTCAATGCTGTTACCGCCATCTTGAGACAGCACGGCCAGAATTGTTGTTTTTGACGGAAACGTATATAAGTTCCGCTGACAAAGGCTTCCTAAATTATCCTGGCTGCGTGCTTGAAGAGTCCTTTAAATCAAAAGCCGGTGTATGCCTGTATGTTCAAGCGG